ATCCAGGCTACAGGTGTGCAGTGTCAGGTTTTTGAAAAGCATATATATCAAAATATTTACTACAAATTGTGTCCCCATCACAAGATGCTTACAGCAGGTGGACAAGATGTGACTCTTCCACACCTGAGGAAAACAGAATGGTACAGGTTCTGAAAATGAAGAGTGTACTTGTGCAATCTTTGTACTTAATCCATTTAGTTCTAAAAAATCCCTTTTACTTATATACATGAAATGTATACAGAGAAAAAGCATATACAAAATGTGTACTACTATACCTATAGCTGTGTTTCTACACTGAGGACATGAATTAAAGTTCAAATTTCTTGATGTTATAGCAAAAGATACCATGTCATGCCACAAACTGGTTATTTTAGTCAATTATGTTATTCATACAGTACCACAGATGTACACAGCACTGCTGAAAGGAAAAATACACCACACAAATGGAATCCACCTGCTCCAAGAGCTTTGGAGTTACTATATGACATGTTATCTTCCCTATATTATTGTGCAATGATCAATGAACTAGTTGGTTGTCACTCTCCAACCTAAGGATGGCTGCAGTTCAGTGGTACTGTTACATCTGTAATCGGACTATGCACATGTATATAAACTGTATGTAGAGATCATTAAATGCAGGCGCCTTCGCATATTAAATTATTTAGGGCTACGTTTTCACTCGGACTACATGCTCACACAGGGCATTAAGGAATAGTAAGAAACCCATGTATTCCTGCACAGGTTACCTGGACCTTGGGTCTGGATATGCAGAGATAAGTGAGCCACTTACCTCTCCCTGCCCAGAGCAGGTGACCATGGAAGAGAAGAAACACTGACTGTGCCTTCCCCCCGAATGCACCTGCCAGAATAGCTATATCCACACAAGGGATGTCATAATACGCTGCTGGTATCTATCTTCTTCCCGCCCTCAGAGTAAGGGTCAAACAGGAAGGGAGCTGAGCCTTCAACTGAGTCCACCCCTTGTTCAGCACTGTGCCTTCTAGCCCTTCTCAATCTAGCCCTTAACAATTTAGAACATGAAGCGAAGATGATCTTTTCCAATTAGAAGTGCAAAAAGAATGTAGGAAGATAGCATATAATTACCAAACTTGGAATTGGTCCTGGACATTAGGGTTAACTCTGTACTCTTATGAAAAGTGTACTGTAATCTTTAATGACTACAAGTGGGCAAGACCTTGGTTTCACCTCCCACATGAAAGCTGGAGTTTCTTATGATGATTGACTGCATATAAGATGCAATGGCAACACAAGGGAAATCGACATCAAGAATGAGTGATTATTAAAACTAGTCCAGAACAAGATATTTTATACAACGTGATAAAATGAAAAGTCACTACTACAAACCTGTGGTTGAAAATGAAACTTTGTTTAAAATTTAGTTGGATTAATTTAAATGTTTATTCATGATAAGGATTCTAGCTGCACTGGTAACTTTTCTTTCGCACTACAGCACTTTTTTTCAATACTCAAGCTATTTATTATTAAGGGCTTCAGTTTTTTGAGCAGCATAGAGAAAATCAGAGTACATGCAGGTCCTATTAGCAATAAATATACTTGTAAGTACCAAACATAATTCATTAGCAATTTCAACAAAAATAACCATCAGATATTCATTATAGCAAATCACAGACCTAATAGCCAAGTACCATTTTTCTTTTATTTTCCAAACCATATAATCATAAAAAAAATGTAGGTTAAAAAAAAAAACACACCACTAAAGGCCTGTGATAGAGCCTTCAGAACCTTGAAAGACCTCTGAGCAGAGTAACTGTTTTCCTTCACCCAGTTATCACTCCATACAGATGCTTCAGATGTTGGGTGGGGCTGTCCCAGGACATGGATAGAGTGGGGGAGAACACCCAATACTTTATATTAGCCAGAAACTGTTTCCTAGAGAAATGGCCCACTTAACTATAGAGAAAGAGCCCTGGGGAGTGAAGGTGGCCGTAGAAGCACTACAATATTACATTTTCGGAAACCCCTGCCTCTCTATAACTGATTACCGACCTCTCCACTGGCTAAATTCCATAAGGGACACCACAAAAAGAAGAACAGGAGGACTTGTGGCACCTTAGAGACTAACAAATTTATTAGAGCATAAGCTTTCGTGGACTACAGCCCACTTCTTCGGATGCATAAGGGACACCGACTCCCGGATTATGAGATGGTATTTAGCCTTACAGTCAGAGGCATCTGCCTTTCAAGTGGCAGACAGGCGGGGAGCCAAACAGCAGAATGCAGTTTTATTTTCCTGGGATGGGAGGAGAGGAGTACAAAAACAACTGTGGGCCCAGGAAGCCTCACCCCACTCCAGTTGGAAGGGCTTAAAAGGAGGCACTGCAGCACATCCAGGCAGCTAGCAGAAGGGAATGGACCTTTGCTCACCGCTATAGAGGGACTACAACAGAGCATGCATTACCAGGAGGGGACCCGCAGCACGAAACAGGGACTCTCACCCACAGAGGCCTGCAAGCCAGTCTGCAAGGAGCACCTACGAGCTTCAATACACCTCGAGGAAGGATAGAGAGGTAGGAAGGGACCCAGGAGAGGGTGTTGGCCGGATGGCAGGTGCTGAATGCTGTCCCTACAGCACTCAAGAGGGTCCCTGGGTCAGAACTGGTGGAGTAGGCAGGCCAGGTCCCCCTACCTTTCCCTGCTCCTCCTGCTGAAGGCTCTAACAACTAGGCAAGCCTGTTGCCACAGACTAACCACTAGACAGAAGACCTGCCTGTCAGCATAGCCCCATTTAGATTTGCTTTTTGTAATTAAAATTCAGAATCCACAACCACTAACTAACTAGCACAAGACATTTTGTAGAAAATGCTGGCTATTCTCTATTTTGCAAGGGCCAGTGGCGGCTTGTTCTCTGTCCCCAGGCGAGGCAGTGACAAGGCATAAAATATCTCCTTACTCCCCTCCACTCACTACCTATATTTGAGGGAGCGTAGCCTCCACGCAGCTGTTACTCTCTCACCCATGAAGGTGGGCAGGGAGTGAGTGGAGCTTTGTTTTCACTCCTACCTCAACAACCCAGATAGCAGAGCTGAGCTGCCACACTGGGGAAATAACTGCACCAAATATAGGGCTGGCACAGATTACTTAGTCCCTGACTGATAGTCTGTTTCCCAATCTACTGCTGAGATGGTGCAACTACCTGCTACTCCTTGTTCTGGTTTCAGAGTAACAGCCGTGTTAGTCTGTATCCGCAAAAAGAAGAACAGGAGTACTTGTGGCACCTTAGAGACTAACAAATTAGTCTGGGCTAGCTTGATTATCACTTCTAAAAGTTTTTTTTTCTTTTTTTTTCTTCTTAATTAATTGGCCTCTCAGAGTTGGTAAGACAACTCCCACCTGTTTATGCTCTCTGTATGTGTGTATATATATATATCTCCTCAATATATGTTCCATTCTATATGCATCCGAAGAAGTGGGCTGTAGTCCACGAAAGCTTATGCTCTAATAAATTTGTTAGTCTCTAAGGTGCCACAAGTACTCCTGTTCTTCTTTTTCCTTGTTCTGGGTTTGTGACAAAGACCCAACTTAGACCAAAATATTTGAGTTTGAGAGCTCAGGAGGTGGTAAGTAGGAAGAAAAACATGCCAACAAAGGTGTTTTTTAAAGGTCTGCGACAAATTCATCTTTTTAAGGATCATTTAATGAACTGAAATTCTACTCCAGCATATAGTTATTTGTGGACCACTTGTAAGAATCTGAATTAAAATCAGTTCAGCGGCCTGCCAATAAAGTCTCCTTTCCTATAAATTAAGTAGCAAACAACAAAACTGCATATGAAGTCACAAAATTCCATATCAGGGTGTGTTTCTTGACATAGGAAGGCTAATTCCATTCTTCCCAGCTTGTTTTATAACTGACTAGACAAATACTATCCAAAATTAACCAATTTTAAAAACACTTACTCTCAGTCAGTGTTAAGACATTGTTACAACACATACGTATCCTGTAAACATAGAACATATCTTATGCCAGATCCAAAGCAAACTTTCTACATTATTTGACTGGAATGTATCATTATATGCACATCATCATCCTAAAATCCAGAGTACCTAACAGAGCTTCTTTAGTTCAAGTTGTGAAATGCTATACATTACCAAAATGTATGCTTTTCAATTTGTTCAGAACTGTGAGGTTCATATTAGTATTCAAGCCACCAACTTTTTTACTCAGCCTTGCTCCTGTATGACCTTGGTTCTTCCAATGACATGTGGCAATGCGTTTGTTTGAAACACACAGAATTAATGTCTTTTTCTATTGTATATGGTTATCTCCTTGTCTACATTTCACAGGCCTGCACTAAAATAAATAATTTAGAGAGGGTAATAAAATGAAGGAAGAATGATTTACTCTTAGTACCACAAAACAAACAACATAAATCCTATTTACCTCCTAATCTGCTTCCCTAACAGACCTGCAAGAAAAATCATGGGCATAATGTGAAAATAGCAACATCAACCAACACAATTAACAAATCACTAATTCTCTATTTTAGATAACTGTTTTCTATAACTGACTTCAGGGAAAGCTGTGGGATACTCCTAACTTTTGAAAATCAGAATACTTATTCGGGTGCCTAAATATGGATTTATAAGCCTAATTTGAATATCTCGACTCATTTTTGAAAACCTTAGCCTGGACATTTTCATTTACTGTAGTGTACCATAGTTAAAGTAGAAATGGCATCTTTATTCTAAAAAGAGCTCATATCACTACAACTAGGTAAAGCTGGATTGGGAACAGGCTGATGCTGCAGTAGTCACAGGAGTATTACTCAACATGAATAAAGGTGAAAGCTCAAATCTTGCATGCTGAAGAACAGTTAAGAGGATTCAAAACATATATACATACACTACACACACACATATATCTATCTATATATATATATATATATATGTATGTGTGTCTGTTGAAAAAATTAACAAAAAATACTTAATACACAAAATACTTAAAAAAAAAAAACACACCGAGTTTTCTTCCTCCTCTTCCAGCTCCCTTTGTTGTTCCTCATGCCTCTTTGCCTTGATCTCCATAGCTTCTGTGATCAGATCTCTTAAAATTGAGACTGGTTTGGCATTCTTAATAAAAGTATGCTAGAAAACAAAACCATGAAATTATATAACAGAAATCCAACAAATACTTTTCAGCTACAACTTAATTACAAGTAACAGATGTTAAAAATAACATGTTATTCAACATCAAAGACTTTAGCGATAAATAGTCTTTCACATCAGACAGAAATTAAAATCTAGGTTCAGGAAATATATGATCCCTCTTAGCTGCTTTGCAACTAAATAAAATTTAGCTTTTTTATTTATTTGGGTTTTTTATACAGCAAGCCATGGGAAAATGTAACTATATAATACAACTGCTTTATAGTTGAGGGTGTAATTGTTGAAAGGAAATGTGGATTAGGTAGTAAATAAATAGAGTGGTGATTGTCTGACATAGAAAAATAAACTTTTTCAGATATTCAGTTACAACATTTAATTAATCTTAACAAGCTGACAACACAAATTAGTGGCCATAAGCAGAGCAGCCATTGCTGTTGCTTGCTTCAACAAACCTGTATTTTAATATGTCATGAATTATTTAATCATCTGCAATGCTGAAATGTAAAACAAGCAAAAAATCCCAACTACCTTTTAGCAGGCAGATTATTTTTTAATTCAAAATCATTTAAAATATCATTTACCCCTCTTCATCTGCATGTTGCTGTCTATTAAGCACCTGTTGTCAGAATATTCCGATTTCTCCATTAGTATTTACATGGAATTTCTCAGAGCAAGAAAACAGACCTGTAGTTCTGAGACTGGCAGAGTAAGTTATTACACCAAATGAAAAACGACAATTAAAAAAACAGCAATGAGCATTTCAGTAGTTGGCTTCTTTTTCTTGGTCTCATCTTAAATATTGAAGCCTTTACCTTACTATTCCTTTCTATGTCCTATCATTCAAAAGATGAGCTTTACTGACGCAATCTAACATCTCTTTGTTATATTCATAATCGTAGCAAAGTAGCTGTTCAATATGTAACTACGAGCACTCCAGAGACAACACCTGGGTCTATCCTTGAAATTTAGGGCATGTCTACACTACAGTCTTGCTCCCACCAATGTAAGTGCCCTACTACACCAAAAGAATAACAACTCCACCTCCACGAGAGGCATAGGGCTTATGTCAGTGTAGTTAGGGCAACGCAATGTCCCTGTAGACACTGCCTTACTTACATCAGCTGTTGGCTGTCATTCTTGTCAATTTCACAGCTCTGTGCTGAAGCTCCCTGATGTGAACCCCACATCCAGCTCACAGCTTGGGCTGTCACCCTGGGGCAGGTGGGGGGCTCCAGCTAAAGCCCGGCTGTCCCCCAGGCTCCTGGCTCCCTACTCCCAGCCAGGGTGCTGCCCTGCCTCCCCACTCGGAGCTGGGCTGCCATCCAGGCTCCTGGCTCTCCGCGCCAAGCTGGGCTATCCCCTGGCTCCCCACTGGGATCCCTGCTGCCTCCCAGCTCCCCACTTGGATCTGGAAGCCCGGGCAGCAGCCTGGCTCGGAGTTGGGAGCCAGGAACCCGAGCATCAGTCTGGCTTGCAGCAGGGAGGCAGAAGCCCAGGCGGCAGCCTGGCTCATAGCGTAGGGTTACCATATCTAATAAATAAAAAAAGAGGACCCTCCACGGGCCCTGGCCCCGCCCATTTCCCCACCTCTAGCCCCGCCCCAACCCCGCCCCTTC